GCTTGATCATGTTAATAGTTCTGTAATCGCAACAAAAGCATAAATGTGAATTAGTTTATAATATTAATTAAAAATAGGCTTTAAACTAGTACATAATTAATAGTATTAATACATATGTATAAACAAATGCTCGACAGGCTTTAAAGCACTAGCTGTTCAGTTTAAGCAGGGTAGCATCTCCCTACTTTATGTCTCATAAATATTAATAAGATTAAATTCTGATTACGATGTTACGTGTAATTATTATTGTCAATAATAATAGGGTTCAAAATTAATGTTGACTCTAATTCATTATTTTCAAAAATTCAAGTAATTCTATAAATATTCGTTTTCTTAATGTTGATATAAAATAAGAATTAATATTCTCATGAAAAAAGTTTTTCATAAAACTAATAATTATAAATTGTTATTTAAAAAGAAAATGCCTGGATCTGCCCGACACATTGTAAAGGGTGATACGTACAAAAATTTTGTTTAATTTTTGTGTCACATTTTTTTTTTTTGTGTAGGTGGCTTTTTTGGGGTTGAAACCCAAGATCTGGGTTCGAAACCCAATATCAGGGTTTGAACCCAAAATCTAGGTTCGAAACCTAAAATTTGGGTTCGAAACCCTCAAAAATTAAAATGTATAAATATAACGCTTGAATTGATAAAGAACCTTATCTCTTTCTGCTCGTGCTAATAATAAATGATAAAATAAATACATAAATACAACCTTTACTATTGTGTAACACTATAATATCATAATCATATATTCAGCTGTCCGAACTGAATTACTCTATTTTATATAAAATTTCAGCCATCAACTTTCAGATCAACCACATATTACCGATAATGATTAAACCTTTAATTATAAAAATCCATGAAATAATGACACTTATTCTTGCTATGTCTAAGAAAACCTAATGTGCTAAGAAGGAGGTTACTATAGAATAGTGATAGTTTAGAACATGATAAATAGGTAGTTACATTTACAGCCTAAGTATTAGCCAATTATATGCAAGATCTTGCATACTTGGTATAAATAGATAAAACTTTTATTGAATATATATGAGAAAATTTTAAATAACGAATGCCAACTGGTATTTCTTCTAAAATAAGTTTTAAAAAAATAAAATAAAGGCAAATAAAAATAAAAAAAATTGTGCTTATTATTTTAACGAAAATCATTAAAAGGACCGTATATAAATGTTTAAGTCAACAAATCAACCTTATCAAGAAGTTCCTTCTTTTTTCCAAATATTCTATGATAGCAATTATACGGCTTGCTCTTTCCACTTTTAAGATCAATTTCAATCTCCTTGACTAAATCATCATATGCATTATTTGAAATTCCCAAATAAGGAAGTAAATGTACTTTCAAATTTTTTAACACGTGAAAAAAAAAATCTTCAGCAAATTCTCCCATTTCATTATTACCCTTTCCCAGAAAAAATTTTGCTGTTTGATGTTCTATACATTCAAATTTTTGGGTCTTTTGAAGGTAATCTTCTAAATGTAACATGAAATCATTATTGATATTATTTGATTTAAACCACGATAACCCTAAGGGATTACAAATAAATTAAGGAATTTGTTAAATATGACTTATATTTTTAAATATAAATAGTAATATAATTTTGAAACATAATTCGAAATGAAGATCAAATATAATAAATTTTTTAGAGATAAAATGCAAAAACATACATGCAGAATTCCATAATGGAAAGGCAGGCCCACCATCAAGAATTTGTCTAGCTGAAAATGCAACCTAGACGTAAATAATTATCGAATGAATAAGAATGTCATACAATAATATTTCAATAATAAAAGATTTAAGCTGCAGAGAGAAAGCTTGTAAATGATATCTGACTTATCGTATAATAACATTATACGATAAGTCTGCGACAGCGATATCATAAATATCACTTACAGGTTTTCCCTCTGAAGTACTCTTTTCTTTCTTTCTTACCTCAAACCAACCTCCAGGCTTTAATATTCGAATAACTTCTGATAAAAACCCATGAAACCCATCATTTTTAAAAAAATTTACATAATCTCTGGAAAAAATATAATCAAACTCTTCATCAGGAAACGGTAGTTTTTCTAAAAGATTGCATTCAATATATGTAATATTTCCATTAGAATTTGGTGTAATAGAATCAGCACCGTAGAAAGCAGTATTTGGATATTCGGGGGAAACCTAATAAAGTAATGTTAAATTAACCTTTACCTAATAACACAGTTTCTAAACATTCATATTAAAATGAAATTTTATTAAATACTTCAATAGTCCAAATTCCGTACATGCAACTTTTATTTATAAAATTTATAAGTACAAATTATAAAATTTTCATAAATTTTATAATTAATATTTTACCCTATTTTCAATACTTTAGCTCCATTCTGTAATTTTTCAATAACCGGCGCGCCTATACTACCATCAAATAAATATTCATATATATTATGTAAGTGAGAACGTATGTCATAAGCTTCTTCTGAATCTATTGCCGCATTCATTTTCTCTGATTTTATTAAAATAATTTTTAAGAAAATTATTATTTTCCAAATTCTTTTAATTTTATACCAAACATAACATTAATCGAAATTTTTTTATACATCATAATAAATTTGATTGACACTATTATAAAGCAAATAAAGGTTAGATCCGGTATTACTATTTAAAGGAGAGCTATCAGCAAGGGTAAACTAATATAACGAAAAGGAAAAGGGAGATAAATGTATGAATAAGTGAAAATGTGACTAAGAGCACTCAGCAGATATATGTGTAGTGATATGACCAAAGAGGTAAGTATGTAAATAAAAAAATATATATGCACAAAGACAATTCAATAATTAATGCTAATCAATGAGTCCAACTTAATACAATACAATAGAAACACAAATACGATATAGGCATTCAAAAAGTATCAACACAGAAAATAAAAGAGGCGAGTGCGGAACTCTTTATTTATGAATGAGGGATCACTCATAAAGAACCTGAGGAAAAGAAGAATGGCCGCAGCAACTGTGGACACATTAGAATAGATTTCCTTTTTTAATAATTACGATAGAGATGTATTTCACCTAACACCATTCTCTTCTTGAACAATCAACGCGTAATTCTTACGAACATAAACAGCACAAACTACTTTACCCCGAGACTAACTTGGAAATACAGTTATACCAGTACGAACGATGCTGATTTCTAACAATCCCTTTTTTTATGATTTTCAATTACCCTTTCTAGGAAAGGGTTATGATTTTCAGTGCTGGCGTATTAATGGTGTTAATTGAATCCAACGTGATTGCAAAAGCATTACGATTAATTAAAATAATCGATTCATGGTGAAAAAGATTGTTGCTCTTTTTTTTTCATTGTGATGGAAAACTCGCTTGACCGGCTAAAGTATTTTCAATCAAGAACTGATCTCCGATCCATTGATTTGAGTTCATGATAAAATCCTATATCAGCTTTTGTAGATAGCGAAAGTAACAAATCTTATTGTACATCATTTCAGGAAAGGAATTGCTTGTAGTAAATAAAATTTATATACAATAAAGTTATTTATACAGATACTAGGGCTGTTAATCGGTCTGTCTGGTTCAAAAACTGCTGATCTATGGTCTAGACTGAACTGGACTGCAGTCTAGAACCGATTATCAAATTAATTTAAATTGGAAGCGACCTACTGACCCAAATTTTTCAAAATCCCTATTTTTTTTTTTTTTTTTTTTTTTTTTTTTCCGAGTTTCAATTATGCCAATAATTCCATCTTTTCAGTTTTATTTTTGATCTTTGTTATCCGGTGTTAACCGATGGCGACCATAATTTTCCGGAGTTATCCGATAGGATTCCAAGGGAAAACCAGACTTCGGGCTTTTAAATCTATAATTTACTGAACTAAAACATGTCAGCAACAAATAAAATTGTAAGCCCGAGGTCTGGTTTTCCTTTGGCA